CATATTTACATTTTACTCTTGTCCGATCTTTTACGAGGTTAAATTTATTGCAGTTAAGTAACCAAGCCTCGGCCAGTACCGGCATTTCACAATCATTTTGAAATAACTGAGTTTTAATTGTCTGACCAAACTGCGTCACCTAAAGGATGGAAGAGCAGCGAGACGGCCGTTTTTTTATTTAATTCATTCAGAAATTTGCCGAAAGAAATCATCTGGAAGATTCCGTCATTCGTCTTGCTTTTCATGTATGTCTGGCATACATTCCTTTCTTTTTGCTTCATGCTGCATGCCCACAAATATTAAGGTATCTGGATACAGTTGTTTAGAACACCGACCGGGACGAAAGAAACGGGTCAAAAAGTAATTTAAGTTGGTCAGATCGTAATAATATTTTACTACATGATTAACAAGGGATTCNTAAAAACTTGGAAAAGAACTCACAATAAAACTTATTATAAATAAGAACCTATTTAATAACCCGCGCAGCTTAAACTTTCCCTAAGCACCATTTGTGAGAACCTGTTCAGGCTAAATTTGAAAAAATGGGTTCTTATAAGTGGGTACGTACTGATGTATTTTCAGTTTTATTATTATTTTCCAATACGGCCGCCCCCTCAACAGAGGATTCAGTATTGGCCAGCTACTCTTAGTGAAATAGTGGTGTGGGTTCTTTAACGTCCCTCTTTTGCTAATGAGAAGTTTAGAGAGACGGGACCTCCGATTTAACGTCGTTATCCGAGAGGACGTGAAGCTTACCATTTGCAGATGGAGAAACAAAGGCAGCAAATTCTACTCAATTATTTTTTTAAATAATTAAAAAACCCTGAGTACGCATTGTAGTCCGATGCTCAACCAACTGAGCCAATCGGTATGCGGCAGTTCACACCATATTTACATTTTACTCTTGTCCGATCTTTTACGAGGTTAAATTTATTGCAGTTAAGTAACCAAGCCTCGGCCAGTACCGGCATTTCACAATCATTTTGAAATAACTGAGTTTTAATTGTCTGACCAAACTGCGTCACCTAAAGGATGGAAGAGCAGCGAGACGGCCGTTTTTTTATTTAATTCATTCAGAAATTTGCCGAAAGAAATCATCTGGAAGATTCCGTCATTCGTCTTGCTTTTCATGTATGTCTGGCATACATTCCTTTCTTTTTGCTTCATGCTGCATGCCCACAAATATTAAGGTATCTGGATACAGTTGTTTAGAACACCGACCGGGACGAAAGAAACGGGTCAAAARGTAATTYAAGYTGGTCAGATCGTAATAATATTTTACTACATGATTAACAAGGGATTCAAATTCATATTGACGAAATTGGAAAATCGGATTTAATTTATGCGTTTTATGGGGAAATCCAGGAAAACGCTTTTACAGCTATTTCAAACAAATTAAGCCTATTTTTTCCGCAATATCTCAGGGACATAATATTAGAGGTATTGCCTAACTATAACCAAAGATTGGTCGAAATTCATCGAGGAAAGACAACATCATGCGGTACTTAACTTGGAGCAAGAATTTTCAAAGAAAAAGAGCGTATAAAAAATTAAAAATTTACATTTTATTTTGTATCAAATGTATATTGACCGATTTCTGGAAAAGAACTTCCCGATCATATTGCTACGTTCATGCAGAGTTTCGGCAGTGTACACCACTGATTCGTTGGGGAGTTAGAGGTATGAAGCAAAAGGTTTGTTTTTAGTGCATGCTAGCTCTTTTGAGATAAACAGATTCTGACAGCCCTAACTCGAAATCGAATCGAATAAGTGCCATGGAACACATTAGCATATCGATGACATCACTTCTTGTCTTGACGGGTTGACACAACCCGACGACTTTTTTGAGGGTGCCCTGTATCTTTCTGATCTTATTCAGCCATAAACCCTCACGTTCTTTAAGATCTTCATCAGCTAACCTCTTGGTCAAACCATCTTTTAACCTTAAATTTTATGGCAGAAGATCTTTCTCTTTTGCTGCTCCTGAGTTATGGAACTCTATTCCTGAGAATGTCCGTGAAGCAAAATCAATTTGTATTTTTAAAACAGAAATTAAAGCTTGGCTTTTTAAGAAAGCATTTTCACTTAAATAATTTTTGAAGTTTTATGATAAAATCATTATTACTTGTATTTGTAGTTATGCAAAAAAAAAGGTATATAATCATAAGTAATGACAGTGTACATATTTAACTTCTTTTTCAAATAAATATCTTTTTTATATAGAATAGAATAACCACGGTAGTCTCATTCAGGACTTTAAAAATATTTCTCATACTCATTAATTATTCATGAGGTATCTAGCCAATCCCTGATTGTAATTTGTACCACGTGCAGTAACTGGATACCAGAGGAAGTACTCCTACCTTGTATTCTATCTTATAAAACTCATTAATATTCATAAGGCAAAACACAATAGAAATCATAGCCCATGAAGAGAGTATATTACATACAGATTCTTGTTCATTTGCATAAACCTTAAACTCTGATTTTCTCGGTCAGATTGATTTTTTTTTCAAAAGTTTCTTTAAAACCTGAGCTGGTTTACCTTAACGTTTCATAAGTAATATACAATATTCGCGTGCGATCTGTATGAGGATTTAAAACAGCTCGCTTTCAGCTCGCTGTTTTAAATCCTCATACAGATCGCCCGCTCATATTGTATATATTACTTATTTCCAGTTACTTCCACCTTGTTTCTAGTTACTTCTATCTTATTTCCAGTTACTCTTACCTTGATTCTAGTTACTTCTCATACTCATTAATTATTCATGAGGTATCTAGCCAATCTCTGATTGTAATTTGTACCACGTGCAGTAACTGGATACCAGAGGAAGTACTCCTACCTTGTATTCTATCTTATTTCCAGTTACTTCCACCTTGTTTCTAGTTACTTCTATCTTATTTCCAGTTACTCTTACCTTGATTCTAGTTACTTCTAGCTTTTTCTAACTACTACTAGCTAATGATAATCAAAGTATTAGAAATAATCAACATAATATAGAATTAATTTAGTGCAAAAAGGTCTTTGATAAATGACAATTTGAAAAGCTTTTGTTTCAGAAAGCCGTTCGGGAATTGGAAAACAACAAACGGTGCTTCTTTACTCAAAATTATGAAAACTGAAAACCTTGGTGGAGATGCAATAAATCAATATATTTCTGTTATATGTATTTCCTTCGCTTTTTTCCCCTCCCGAATAATTAATGAGTATGAGAAGTCGTTCAAAGTCCTCCAATTCGGACTGGACGGGATTTCAAGTCCTTGCAATTAGTTCCAGTCCTCGGCTAACGCCTCGGACTGAAACTAATTGCGCGGACTTGAAACCCCGTCCAGTCCTCATTGTCGGACTTTAAACATTACTAAAAATACTAACTATACTAACTATAATATACATTAATTATCAATTACAATAAAAACTAAAACTATATAACAAAATTTGCCTGTTTTGGTTTTACAAGAGAGCCGTGCTACATCTGCGACAATCCGTTTTTAAAATCTTGCAGCGTTTCCGCTTGCCGCAATCCAACTCGGAGGCTGTTCCAAAGTGTCGCACCTTTATAACTGAAACTGTCCTTGAGAAAGTTTGTGCGTGGCTTTGGAACAGCAAGTTTGTTCTCAGAGTCTTTTAGATTGTAAGTTTGTATCCGTTTTATTTATTGAACAAAGAGCCCAAATATGCAAGGGCCGGTCCATTAATAGATTTAATTTTAATGATTTACCTTTTCAGATCCGCATTGGTCTTATTATCGATGTACCTCACGCTAGATTGTCAACAACTTGCAAGCTCCTTGAAATAGCTGCTTTTCCCCATGTCAGTCTATCGTTATTTTTTTAGGTAAAAGACACAAGACAATGACGTCTGAGGTTACGGCAAGCAGGGTTAATCTAAATCACATTAAGGTGGAAGACGTTGGCAAAACAGTAAGTGTAAGAGAATCAGATCACGCAAGAACCAATCATTACATCAAGCAGAGCAGGCCATATTTCCCCGATAACAAGCTMCRTACGTACATCGACTGGCCAGGCGTATTTCGTCTTGCAAGCATAATATGGGTTACAAGTTTGTTTGGGTTTCTTTGGGCTCAAATCTCCATCTACATTCCTCTGGGATTTTTCTTGGTTTGTTTGCTGCTGTTCATCATTTTCTGTCAGCACGAGTGGGTAAATCTGAAGACTYTGCCAGTTGTCTTGAAGCAACCAATCTTTCCAAGTCAACCTGGTCCAAACAAGTTCTACCAGGTAACCATCACAGAGCTCAGTGGCATTGCTCTGGAGAATTTCCAAGCAGGTATTGGCTGCGTCCAAATGTCCCAAGGAAAGATAGAGTTCCAAGCCTTCAACAAGATAGCTGTAAAAAGAATGTCAAAGGCAAAATGTTCTTCTCGGGTGATGTTGGTTCTGTTCTTTTTGGCACTTGGCTGGAACCTCTTTACAGTGATCATTGTCTTCTAAGTAGAGATTTTATGACATGATACACCCTTATAATCATTCTTGTTAACCAATTCTTAGTCATCGACATCGCTTTTTTGCCCTCTTAGCCCCACTGAAGGCCCAGAACTTTGACTATATAGGCTGAATCACAATAGACAGTAGATGTGATAGTAGGTGTGATATCGATAGTGTGTGGATAAGTGAAAGAACAAGCGATTGTTGATTGATGAGTGAATAGCACACACACTATGCAATATTAATATTAACTATGATATAGAAAAGAAACAGCACACACTAAACATAAACCACTTGGACAGAAATTATTGGACAGTGTCGTTGTTGGCTTATTTCATTGTGTTGCTTAAAGGGACATGGTCCAGTACCAGCATCCCTTTCGAGCTTTTGTTTTATATGTTTGAAAATAGAAATACATCGTAATATAAGCAAAAACTTACTCTTTATTGTTCCTTTATCCTATATGAATGGAGATGGTTTAAGATTCGACCGTTAAACCGATTGTTGGAAACGAATTGCAAATGGATATTCGARGTCACCTCATTTTCCATAATATATGAAAAATCTAAAACACGACCGCATTGCATGCTAGTGGACCATGTCCCTAAAGGCTTTAGTTTCGCTTATTACAACGTTTCTCGTTGTTGAGAATCGCTGAAGAACCAGAAATTYCGTTCTATTGTTTAAATCAATACTCAATTTATTGTAATTTTGTATGACTTTTATGAAAGTATACAATAAAACTCTGCTTTCTGGTGACAGACCAGTTAGGCGGCTAAATACGAATACAAAAACCATCAACTTGGCGCGCAACATTGTTTCTGTTAAAGTTGAGTATCAAAGTTTCTCGTTTTTCATGCATCGTCAAMTTGTTATGCAACAAAAATACATCGTGGAAAAACGAGAAATACCGATGCTCAACTTGAACAGAAACAATGTTTCGCGCCAAGTAGAGGGTTTTTGTTTCTCGTATTTAGCCGCCTTTATCCTTCACCGCAACATCTTTACTGCAATGTACAAAATGGAACTAAGAGGCAYCAATTGGGTGATATCTAACTTTCATTCTAAAGCCTTTCCAACCCAAGGCTAGCGTTGATTGGACAACTGTGCCATCACAGATGGGAAATGTATACAAAGTCATTTTTTATGACAGAAATGTCCGGTTAACAAAACACAGTCCATGTTTACCATCTTTAAGAGGTTCACTTCTCTGGTAATTATTCGCCAATAGGTTAGGGTCTGGTTGGCTGTCTCGGCGCATTGCTTCAATGTGTTGCTCAATCGTGTAGATCATGTCATCAGCCCACGTTAAATCAGCATTGTCAGATATTCCCTTTATGATCTTGAATAAATGAATGGATGAATTAGGAAAAGATGGAGAAATGAAATAAAATAAGATGGATAAAAGATAAATTGAAGTACTGGTACATGAACTAGGGAGTGAATAGCTTGACGAAGAACTGAGTAGATGCATCCATATGTTACAAATGTAAAAAATACTGTCTAGCAAAGGTAACATCATCGAAGCAAATGTCGCTTTCCATTTTGACAGAATTGTCCAGCCAGACCTGTTTATTTAGAAGTAATTTATAAACTTTTCCATTGAATTAACATATAAAATTTAGAACTTTATCTTTCTAACTGAACAGGAATGATTAATAATGGAATTTTCTCTGGTGGGTCTGGTAAGTCAGTTCTGACAAATGGAAAGCCGCRCCCTAAGAAGAAAAGGATCGATTATACGTCTCGCAGGGGAGATCATGATTATCAAGTGTGAAAAAATACTGACTCACAGAAGAATGACTGAATCAATATGTGAATTGAGAAACTTGTTAGATAGTAAAGAGAAAGCCAGAAAAAAGAACAGGAGGGTGGAAATTAAAYATAAGCACAAATGATGAGCATACCTGTAGTAGCATAAATATGGTGACAAATAAAGCACTGGACCTGCCAATATGTGAGCATTTATCAATTAATAGAAAGATAACGTAAATCATCAACACCATAGTGTGACCATAATGTATTGATATCATCATCATCAACCAGTTTCGTGCAGTTTGCATTGTTTTAAATAATGCAAACGGAAATAATCACTCAAAATGTAAGAYCACATTACTATCGATGAACAGTGATAGGTCTATGAACTTATATACTTGTCATGAATTGACAGTGGGTGAATTTGGGTGACACATACTTGTCTTCAATCTGTCTCGAGTCTGAAGGAGTGTACATGGCCTCAACTAGTTCATCGACTCTGCAGATTTAAACAAACTAAAAAATTAGGATACACTGTTTATATACACAAATCCTTGTCCTCCTTTGCTGGCATCTCTTTATTTTCTAGAAAATAGCGTACTAGTAACTAGACCCCTCTCTCCCCAATTGTCCACAGAAAGCCTAAAATGTACTTGTAACTGGAAAATAGAAATTTCCRTGGAGGAGGCTTTCGACTTTAGCAGTTGTGGTTGCTAAACTTATTATCATCAAAATTTGCTAGGTAAGTAAACTTAGAAAGAAAGGGGTTGTTTGCCTAACCATTTTTATAAATAAACATTTTTAAGGGTAACATTTCATCACTGCCTTTTTGGGATATAGTTTTAACATTTATTGGCTAAAATGTCTTCTGCTCRGCCCAGACTCACACAAATATTTGAACGTATCATCTGAAAGGTCTAATGCTCTGTTGTCAAGGTTAGCCCATCCATGATCCTAACCCATGCGTTACGTAAGTATACGGTTCAAGATTGCAAAGGAAAAAAAACAGAAAAAACATAGATGTTTTGCATGTTAAAACAGAGAAAACTGTTTCCATACTTTGGACTTATGTTTCGTGCTGCTGTAACAATCTTCTTCATGTAATCCTGACAGTTTATTTTAGGTCCATTCTCTACAGTGTATGCCACCAGCTTGTCTGTTAGATGATGACATGTCTACAAGAGTCAGTATCGTGAGTTAGTTATTCTATTGAAGACTACACTTCTGATCCATCCATTTGTTAACTTGTTCATGCAGCATCCAGTTCCCACCATCTCTCAAGTACATGCAGTCTTCACCATCAATCCACATTCTTGTCAATCACCACAAACACTACAGTATCTGATCCAACATAGTTTTATTCCATGTTTGTTATAAATTTATTTAATATTTTTCATTGGTATTGTTTTATCAATATGAGTCACTAATTGCCCTGTGACAAGGAACCTGGAGCACTCCTGGATTCCAAATTCCATTGCTGCAGATTCCAGATTCCGAGTCTTGATTCTTAAGCAAAAATTTTGTTGGATTCTGGATTTGGTGTCATGGGGTGAGTCAATGTATTTATACCTGCTAAATATTTGCTGTGAACTGACATATATTTTACCTTAAGAACTGCTACACAATGGCAGACAAGACTTCTGTGAATGGATAAGAATATTATTCAATACTCAACGTTCAATAGCTTAATAGAGTTTCACAGAATTACATWAAGAACATCATGAAATTAACCCAATACAAAAATTAGAACTCTAATCCTTGCATGCCATTAGCTTCTAGGTAGCCTTTTGTGTTATTGTTAATGCACTGTTGATCTGACATTGCTAAATAGCGCTATATAAATTATTAAATTATTATTTATTATAATTATTATTACAAATAAACTTACTCTGCATCACCTCCCCAGTCTGGATCCAAAAACACATCAGACTGAAATGAAAAAAAAAGAAACAAACATAAAAAATAAAAAAAAACAGAGAAGACTATGAGAATAATAGGACAGTATATTGTTGATCCTCTTTAGAAATATAATTTATAACTTGAGATAACTAAAGTGAAAGGGCCATAGACTAACCAGATCATGGTCACTAGAAGTGCTTTCTCCGATGCTTGTTGTATCATGGTAATTAGCACCTATCAATTCTACTTGTTTTCTAAAAGACAATCAATTTGTGACAGAATGGATCATATCAATTTATAAGCTTAAGTTAAATGAACAGTACAATATTTAAAACTTGGAAGAAAAATTAAACAGCGGAGAAAACCATCAACTTTATGTTGCAGCTATTATAACAATAATAATTATGCTAACAAGTTCAGTTCAGTTTCAATTAATTTTTTCAAGGATTAGGATATGGAGGTTATATTTCTATGTGCGAGGAGAAAGTTTATGATCGCGATTGTTTATATAGATAATATTACCTGTTTCTGTTCTCGTACTGCTCTGTATTTTGGTATACTGTGAAGTCAAGCTTTCCACATTTATGCTTACAAATGACCAGTAAAGCCACGAAAGATGCCATAAAGATGACAGCAAGTAGAGCGATAGCGATGATCATCACATGGAGCGCCATGTTTGTTTTGGAGATATCACACATTTGCACCGTATAGGAAGCCCATCGAACCCTAACATTCATTGGGCCAACACAGGGAACCCAATAGATAATAGACAATAAAAAAAGATGAAAAAGAACTGTCAAATACATTTCAGATTTCAAAACGAGAAAAGTGAGATGAAGGAAATAAGTTAGTTTTTGTGTCTTTTAAGAGATCACTATATTTCCTATTTTGAAACTTTTTGTATTCCTAACTGCAATACTTGAGATTATYATTTTCTAAATCGTCCTTGTATTTTTTTCATTGATACAATGATTTCRTAAATTTCAAAAAATGAGTTTTCACAGATTTTATTCATTTATTTTCTGTTTTAAACACTCCTGCCTCCACGAGACGAACGACAGTCTTCCGAAGAATCCGAACTTCTTCCGTATTATTCCCGAACGATCTCGAACGCACTCCCCGAAAATATGTTTGGGGGGCCCGATAAGCATGAGGGCTACGGCTTCGAGCGTGTTCGTTTARTCGTTCTTGTTCGTGTSTGAAGATTGTTTGTGGAAAGGTATATTTGTCTTCTAAAATCTACCCTTTTTCTAGCCCATCCGTTCTTGAAATTGTGTAATTTTGATCGTTACGATGGCATCTCCATCGCGATGCGATTTTCTTCTTCAAAGAAGAGCATTTCAACTAAGTAAGCTTCGATCTCTCCAGTCAAAGCGTTCCTGTTATTTCAAGCAAAATGGCCGAAGATGGTGATGCTGAAACTGAATTGTTGGATTACGAAGAAGAAGAAAACGATGCCCCAGCAGAAGGAGCTCAAGCGATAAAAGATCAAGCGAAGAAAGATGTTAAAGGCACCTATGTCAGCATCCATAGTTCAGGTTTTMGAGATTTTCTTCTCAAACCCGAACTCCTGAGAGCGATCGTTGACTGCGGGTTTGAACATCCCTCTGAAGGTAAGACCTAGGATCGTTTTAACACTGTCTTTTCATCTTCGCTGATYAAATATCTTTTCTTGAACAATTTAGAGCGCACAAAAACGTTTCTTGACCCTTTCAAAACTTTTTTATAACGTGTTCTAATTAATTATTCATGTAGGACTTAATTTTAGCTCTTTCGAAACATATCCAATCAAACAATCCAGTTGGCTAATAACTTTTGTTATTTTTTTGCAGTTCAACATGAATGTATCCCACAAGCCATCCTTGGTATGGATATAATCTGTCAAGCAAAGAGTGGTATGGGTAAGACTGCTGTCTTTGTCCTTGCCACTTTACAACAGCTTGAGCCCGTTGATGGTCAAGTTAGTGTTTTGGTTATGTGCCACACACGAGAGTTAGCCTTTCARATCCACAAAGAGTATGAAAGGTTTTGTAAGTACATGAGTAATATCAAGATAGCAGTTTTCTTCGGAGGAATTAGCATCAAGAAAGACCAGCAAGTATTCAAGACCAAYTGTCCTCACATTGTGGTTGGGACTCCTGGACGGATCCTAGCACTGACAAGAGAGAAGACCTTGAACCTCAAGCATGTCAAGCACTTTATACTTGATGAGTGTGATAAAATGCTYGAGCAAATTGGTATGTCATGAGGTTATAAATATCAGATACATTCAATGTGTGGTGTTAACCATTGTGGTAAAAGCATTTCTGTTCATTTCTTGGGACAAAAACATTTATCCATAAATTTGCATCAAAAATAGCCATTATAAAACCAGCTGCATAAACCAAGATCCATGTGACATCGAAACAGTTTCATCTCAGAGCAAAACAAAATACTMAGGCTWAGTTACCTTTTGTCTTCCMTATCAAATTGCATTCACTAAGACCATCACTAGAAGTTGCATTATGTAAAACCTTAGTCAGTTGTTGATACTAGAATGAATTCCAATTGAATAAATTTGTTTTGTTTTCAGACATGAGACGAGATGTTCAGGAAGTATTTCGTATGACACCMCATGAAAAACAAGTSATGATGTTTAGTGCCACTCTACCTAAAGATATCCGKCCAGTTTGCAAAAAGTTCATGCAAGATGTAAATATACCAATCGTTGTTACCATTGCTGTTTGAGCGTCAGGAGATAATGATCATCATGGCTCTTCTGGCTTAGAGTTGATCAGCTTTCTGGCAGCACATTGTTTGGCTTGTGGGCTTGATAAATCTGGTTGTCTACAGAGTGTTTAAGATGTTGTGAATGCGTTATATTTTACTACTGTTGGTATTTTATTAGTAGTTGTTGGTGCTGCCAGAATTGGTGATGGTGTTGTAATRTGTTGTAAAGGCGAGGGTGTTATGTTGGCGAAGTTGTTGCCAAGTTCCTACTGTGCAACATCCAGTATGAGCTGTCTACAGAACCAAGCCTGGTGTTTAAGATCAAAGAATCCCAATCATCTGACAGAACCAGAATAGCTTTGTTGGCTCCTGACCAATCAATGAAGCACCACTGCCAAGACACCATGATGCATGTTTGTATCATGTCCACAGTGTGTCAGTTGTGTGAAAAAAAATAGTCACACAAAACTGAAAATAAAATTGTTGTACCAAGTTCAAACCATTGATAATACGTCATGCTGTGATCTATATTTCTTACTACTTCACTATAGCAATGTGAAAATTATACAAAATCAATGCAAAAYAAGAAATGCTCAACAAATGTTTTAAATAGCTTCTTCTGGACTTGATAATAACATGTCAAAGCTTGTTGTACTTAACAGAACAAGGAACTCAACTAAAGTGGTTCTTCATAGCCACCTTTCTTGAGTCTTGCATGGTTTGAATGTGGTACAACATGTGTTCTTGCTGAGAGAGTATGAATGAGGATGTAGTGTAGATTTGCCAACCTTGTGCTTTTACCAACAGCCCATGGAAGTGTATGTAGATGATGAAACAAAGCTGACACTACACGGATTACAACAGTATTACCTCAAGTTACAAGACAGAGAGAAAAACCGAAAGCTGCTTGATGCCCTTGACGCCTTAGAATTCAACCAGGTTGGCAACCAATTTAMACCAAACCTCTTATTTGCCAGTTTGCAAGTGCAATATTAGACCATGGGTGAAATTTTTTTAGATTGCATTTCATGTACTGTTAGAAATGTATAATTGCAAGTTTTCTTCTGAAATCATGATTTATACCTGTTAATGTGAATGTAGTTCTTGTATGTAATTGAGAACCCWAAGGTTAATCAGTATGAGCATCAATGAAAAAAGAAATGTCCATATTGCAATAATATATTGTCCAGAAAGTGACTTTGTTATGTTGAGTACAGATGGTATAAGTACAGGATCMTGCTCCTGTAAAACATACATGTAGCTCTTTTACACATTCTTACTTTTGTCCAGCAGGCATTCAAGCAGTAGACTAACAGCCTGAATCTATAAATCACTTTTTGTCCTATATACCAGAAAAAAAGCAAAGATGTACAAGGTTGACATGTTTTTTTTCCAGGTGATTATATTTGTCAAGACAGTAGCAAGATGTACAGCTTTAGCCAAACTCCTAGTGAACCAGAATTTCCCAGCCATTTGCATCCATAGAGGAATGGCACAAGAAGAAAGGTACTGTGAAACRTATTCAGTTAATTAACAAACAAAGTCTTTGTGCATCAACCAACAGTTTGTAGCTATGTGAATCAAATCTTAGCTAAGTTGTTGTTCATAGTATTGAGGATGGTCATTGATTTGTTGAATATTTTGGACYAGTCAGTTGTCATCTATGTTTGTCTTTATTAAGAATTACACTTTTTTACAGATTATCKAAATACCAACAATTCAAGAATTTCCAAAAGAGAATCCTAGTATCAACAGACTTATTTGGGCGTGGTATGGACATAGAACGTGTTAATATTGTCTTCAACTATGACATGCCAGAAGATTCAGATACCTATYTACACAGGGTGAGTTAGTGTAAAAGAACTAAAACTTGA